TGGGTTTCTTAAATTCTTGAAGCTCTTCAGCCATCATGTCTTCCCATACTTGATAAATAGGATCGATGAATTTTTTTGACCTGTTAACAAAGATTGTTGCAGTTAAACATTTCAAAGTGCAGTAATACTGAAGTTTCAAAATGTATTTCTTCCACAAGACCAATTTCTTAAAATTAAAAAAGTGAAAATTATGTCGCAGTCATCCTAAAAAAAAAAAAATCCCTAAATACGTAAATATTGAAAATAATGTAGCTTTTAAAAACAAGTTAATCTCATTCAGATGAATCTGTCTTTAATCTTTTCAATTGTAGGTGAAACAGTTTCTAAACTTGGCACTTGATAACTGGACTATGGTATACCCAAATAAAAAACTAAATAATATTCCAAAACTTCCTTTTTGTATCATGTAATTACCTCTTTAGTAAAAACCCAAACAAAGCAACTAATATGATTTTAGTCAGCCAAGAGCGGGGGGACCAGAAAAATCTCCAAGTGCTGTCAGAGAGGAGCAAAAATTTGGGTTCCTAAAACAAATGCAAAATTAAGAATGGTTTGGTGGTTTTCTAGAATGGCCCTTCTACACACAGCACCTGACTGTCCTTTATTCTGTGCCAACAGTACAGGATGTAGTCTCTAGAGGAAGGAACAAGTCACATGGCAGAAACCTAACAGGGTTAAGAAAAGGTAGTAGTACCTGCCTTAGCCTGGTACCCCCGTCACCATCTCCTGGTATGTTTAAGCAAACATTTTCTTTACTGTTACACACACACACACACACACACACACACACACACACACACACACACACACGCACGCTCTACAAGCCCCCACTGTTACTATTAACACCCACTATGTTCTAACAGTACTTTTCTACTTTGGTCCTGTGGCACTGTGAAAGGAGACCAGAGACTCAAATGAACAGCTCACGGAGTCCTGTGACAAAGAACTCCTGAATCTCAAACCTGGGCAAAGTAAATCCTTATACTGCACTGACATTTACTGCTGAAGTGTGGAACGTCTGGCGTACCTACCTCTTTAGGACACAAGGGTCAAAGGGGAAGAAGGTGTCAAGTGGGTTTGTGCAGGTTTGCACGGAGTCCCC